GTGTTTTACACACACTGGAAAGTATGTGAGATTCAACTGTCTGTCTGTGTGTGTGCTGTCTGTCTGTCTGTCTGTCTGTGTGTTCATATGTCTGTCTGTCTGTGTGTGTGTCTCTCTGCCGGGTTCTTCCGTTCCCAACTGAATCAAACGAGAGGCAGTTAAAAAAAAGGCAGAAATAATCAAAATGAATAAATGTTTGGCAAAAGAAAGAAAAAGAGAACAAACAAAATTTCTATAAAGGAATAATAATTTGAGAAAATATCCAGACAACCTGCTTTTGCATGAATATTCCTATTTCTATTTCCTCTACAGAACTGCTACCCTCGTGGCACGCTACCGTCCTCGTTGTCCAATCGTCGTAGTGACCCGTGACCCGCGGRTTGCCCGCCAAATGCATCTTTGGCGTGGGTGTTTCCCTATAGTCTACGACAAGCCACCTTTAGTCAACGTCCTTGAAGAGCATGACGAGAGGCTTGATTTTGCTCTTAACATGGGCAAGTCTATGGGTTTCTTAAAAACTGGCAGCATTTTTGTGTTTGTTTCTGGTTGGAAGTCTGGCGCTACCCATACCAATACCATCCGCATCCTGTCCATCGCTGACGAGAGAATCCACATTGCTCGTAGTTTGTCTGAAACCGCTGACCCCTCTGGCCAGGTCCAAGTGGACGGTTGAACCAATACTTCACATAGTACTGCTCATATGGGATCATTATATAAGGGATGAGGGCAAAACAATTGTCATCTCACGGTACCCGATTTAGGGGGGAGGGGTGTTGTTACCCGCTACCCACCACCTCTGGAAGTGAAATCTTAGATTTTGTCTCCAAATACCTCCAAAACTAAAAGCCAAATCACAGAAATGAATGGACTGTCTGTCTGCATGTGTGCTTAAAAAAATATGTGTATAGAAATTGCCACTACAGACCCCCAGTATCGAGCATTTGAACAGGTCTCTGAGGGGGAGGGGGTATGTACCGGTACCCACCACCTTAATTCATAAAATCGGGTCCCTATTTTGGACCATTGTTTTGACCTCGTCCCTAATGTTATCTATGAATGTTGTTACATGATCCACTGTAACAGTCTTACACCAAGTACTAACCGTCTTTGTTTTGATTGGACGATAGCCTTCATGTAATGTTTAGTGTTTTAGARTAACAAGGAAAGATTTATTTTTAAAGTAATAGAGACGAAGATTAGGGCAGACGTTTGTGTTGCAAAAATATATTTACCAAAAAGTAGCACATTTGACTATTTTCGCTACACAAGTTCGTTTTTAAGTACAACGCATCCATTCGAGGCTCCTAGGTAAAAATATTGAATAATCCTTTTAAATACTCGCAAGCCTCGTTCTAATGTCTCTTGTTGGACTAATGAATCGATGTACGAAAAAAACGTCCTTAGTGCGAGTGACGTTGGCGAAAACCTACTCAGCATGCTCGGGGAATCGGTCGAAAATGCATGCTTTCAACCTTCTTAATGTACGTAGGCGACTTGTAGCACACTTGTATGAGCATCCTTGGTAGTTCGTCCCCAGAACCTGTAGGTCCAACTGGTCAACACCTGTAAACGATCACCTAGAAACGATGCTGACCACTAAGAAAAGCCATAGTTAATAGAGGGGAATGGTTAGGAAACCTATTGTAATCAGGTCTTTGTTCGCTTGTGAGGTTGAACCGGTCTTGAGCGTGCACAATGTTTGATTTATGCTCATCCGAAATTGCAAAATAAGTAAACATAAACTTTGGGTATGGGATTGTTGTAAGGAATATTCAAATATCTCTTACAAATCTTTAAGTATTTTGAACTAGCAGTCAAAAGAAAGATTTTTGTCTGTTCACTCCGCCATTGCCAACAATGGTAAAACAATGGTAATACAAAGGATTGTGCATGGTCACGCTTGAAAAATGTGAACAAAGATATAGCAATAGGTTTCATAACCATTTTCCTCTATTGACTATGGAAAAACGCAGGCTTTGAGAACGATATCTAATACGCCATTTTAAGATGTGGTTTCGATCAAAAGGGCGTTGAAAAGTTGAGTGCAAAAACARACGATTCGTAAATGCGCAAATATTAATAATGGAGTCGTACGTATCAAAAATGCTCTTTTGTTTTGTTTGTTTTTTCTTGACATTATGCGAGGGTGAGCAGGGGCGGGTCCAGGAATTTGTTCAGGGAGGGGTGCAGCGCACATAGTTAACCCAGGGAGGGGTGTACCCCTTAGAATCAAAGGGAAAAAACAATTATGCATTGGTTAAATCTTTGAAGTAGGAGCACAAAGTCGAACCAGGGAGGGGTGCGCACCCTCTGCACCCATCCCCTGGATCCGCCACTGGTGAGTGTATTCGAGATTGTCCGTCATTGCGCAGAAAGTATTTCACCATTTTCAAGATTGAAGATAGATCAAAGATTTCTACGATATTGATATTGATCATGAATTTAAAGAAGTTGTATTGAATATTTGTAGTGTCGTGAATAATTTATCCTTATTATGATATTAAATAATTTAAAAGAGTACCAAGCAAGTGAACAATGGACATTAATTACTCTYGATCAAATGTTTCAAAAATAGAGCAGTTTTTACTAATTAGAGTGTAATAGTTGGATAAACACAATAGAAAACAAAATGATTAGATTGTAATAATACTGAATGAGCTAAAGTGTATTTCATGAGTTTATGAAAACCACTCTACCCACAGAGGTGGAGAGAGATTGTCTCCCTGTTTAACAGCCTATCCCAATTTGGAGGCATAACACAAGTGTACTAACTATAGTCCCCTTTACAGTTCCCTGCGCCATCTGGAAAGGTAGCCGTGCCTTTGCATCGAAGAGAGACGAACGGTGAGCTTGCAATGATAGAGACCTTTTTTTAACACCTTGGACAATTATTCACATGTCTCTATCATTGCAAGATCACCGTTTGTCTCGCTTCGATGCAAAGGCACGGCTACCTTTCAAGATGGTGCTGGAATGATTGTAAGCTGCACGGCTGTCATCCACACCTTACTGTAATATGCAGTGCATAAAGTCATCCACTGATCCAAGTGCATTGAGACAAGGGAAATGTAATACATAACAACTCTCCATTAGCAAATTATTTATTGGAAGGGGAAAATTAACAAATTGGTGAACTTTGGTAAAATTCATTCTTCAAGCCCACACCAGTATCTTTACCGACCCCTCCAACATCTCATCCAGCACCTTTCTGAAAATTTGAGAAGACTGCCTCCATAAAACCTATTTCTACTTAACCTATGACTCCAGCTCTTTTGTAACTGAGTTCTTATTTTAAAAAGTTCTTTCCTTCCATTTTTCTCTTTTTCCTTTCTGTCTTCCATTCTTCCTTCGTTTCTTTATTTTCTTTCACAAGACAGTCTTGGGCGTGTCTCGATTTTGCGGCGGCCCCGCCGCGCCCAGGACAATTTTACATCCGGTGACGTCACACGGCTTGATTTCCTGCGAAGCACAATTTCTTCAGATTTCAAATAACCCTTTTGTTTTAATATTATCATATAATCAAAGGTCACCGCATCTTAATCTCTGAAGAAACACAATCCTTTCTAGTTAACATTCAATATTTTAGGGAGGAAGTTTAATATGCAGGCCATCTTGGAAATATTTGAGCGAGGTTATTCAAAATGGCGGCCACAGTCGACTTCAATGGAAGATTGTTATGTCTTAACTTAAAAGACCAAGGGTTTCTCAAGAAATTTTCTGCAGGATATTATAAATGGATGAACAAAAGATCCCCACTTCGAGCCACGAGAGTGGAGAGCTGGTTTTAGAGAACGAAAACAAAGTTTTGAAGCCACCTCCTCGAAGGAAGAAATCATTAAGGAAGAATAAAATGGATGCAGACAACGCTCGTAGAATTACTGCATCTCACTCTGCAAAAGCTGAAAATGAGCAGTCACAGACTTCATTAGACGATAAAATGGTAAAAGAAGAACCGTTTTCTGTAAATGTCAATAATAATAACAGAAATCCAGCTAATTTAGGGAATAATTTGGACGAGGTTGGCAACCAATGCTTGCAAATTCCTGCACGACAGCCTTCAAATGGTTCCAAAACTGAAAGCAAAATTTCCAAATCTCCAACTCAAAATAAAAGTAATAATGAATGTAAGGAATCGAAAGCTGGAGAAACGCCAGAGTATTTTTCTGGATGCACAATTGCGACGAAAGAGGACGAGGTTTCGAAAATGCAAAAGCGAAATATGAAGGATAATATTAATGAAGACGAGGCAGATGCTGGACAAGATATTGAGATGGGGAATAGAAATGGTTCCTTAAAACCCAAGGCTAAAAATACCGAAACACATAATACAGGAAAAGCAAGGGTAATTCACGATGGTAATAATGGAATCAAGGATCCTTCAAGTAGCGATCAAACGACGAATAAAGCTGTTGTTGTGAGTGAAAATTTTGAAAGTTTTTGCCTGGTTGAAAATGTTGCAAACCCTGGTGAAAATGGAGCTCAAAATGCAACCACAGTTGATCAAGATCCAAAAGAAATATTTCTTCGAAGAAAAGAAGATTATTCAAAAAGCTGTAGTGATTCGGAAGCAAGGACTTCCGGGATTCCAGCACAAACGTCTGAGAAGTTAACTAATCCTAATATTGATAATTTAAATTCCCAAAATAACCGATGTGTGAACACTTTGTCTTGTGATGTTCATAAGGATTCTCTTCATGATCCAAGAATTTTGCATCAAGCTGACAGTAATTTTTCTGGTGCTGATATGAAAGATACAATGCATCAGCTTCAAAGAAATGATAACAATATGTTGTCAAATGATCCAGAACAAAAACTAAAGAATTTAGAAACCAATCAAATGAATGATCAAAATAATACCATACTGAACTTCCAAAATCCTTTGTGTAGAGAATACAATCCCATTATAAAAGCGGATAATGAAAAAGTGTTAAGACAGAAATGTACTGCTTTCTCAGATAATGAAGTTTTGAACCCAGACAGTTTATCATTGTCAATGGATTTGAGAAAAGAGAGCAATGGAAAGAGTCAAGATACTGAGAAAATTGAAGATGGGAAAGTTATTATTCCGTACCAAAACTTAGAGGACAACAACCAGGATAATACTTGCGAAGGGGATTTGGGTGATGACGAGGAGGTGTTCTCATCTGATACAGACAGTGATACTTATTATTCTGATTTTACGAGCTCTGAAGGGGAATACAACATGGAAGATGCTGAGAAGTTGTGGTACATTGATGATGGTGAGAAGGAGGTAATGTTGTTAATTTAGGGAATTTTTCGTTTCAATGTAAAATCAACAATTACCTTAATTCTTGCTTTCAGAAGTTATTTTGGGTTTGGATCTTTTTTTCCTTTATGGAAAAGAAGGAAAACAAACTCTTGTTTCAGAAAGACTTCAACAATCTCTAAACAAACAGGCCATTGTTCTTCCAAAACCTTCAAATTTATTGATACCCTAAAGCAACCTCTGGGCTGATCTAAGTCAGGGCATGGCTAACTCACAGATCAAACCCTGAGACAACCTCTGGGCTGATCTAAGTCAGGGCATGGCTAACTCACAGATCAAACCCTAAAACAACCTGTGTTATGTCTGACTGATAAATGGAACCATGAAAGCTGATCAAAATTAGTGCACAGCTTACTTACAAATTGAATTGGAATTTAACATGAGATTTTTTAGAAGGGGCAAAAACTGTATATGAATCTTTGAATTTCATGGACCACGAAATTCATCTGTGGTGGTGAGTTGCAATGGGTCTTTAAACGATGAACTGGCCGTTATTCCAAGAACAAAACATGAAGCCATTGCACAGGGTTTTGGTGAACATTTTGCCTTGCAATAATTAAGCTCCTAAACCTCCCCTTTAGCGATGATAGAAACATTTAGATATAAATTTTATTATTTTTATTTTGGCATGATTTGTCCTGTCTAAAATTTAAAAAGTCACAAAACTGAGAGTGGGATGCCTGTGTGTTTTTATACACAGGCAACCCAACCATGTCAGAAATCGCAGACCTCTATTTTCATTGATGGTTTTTTTCCAGTAATTTTTAGTTTTTATCTGATATGTTTTTTTATTATATAATCACCAATGAAATATCTATTTTTCTCTATTTCGAAAAATTGATATCTTCACACGTGAAAATAACATGTTATTTTCACGTGTGAAWAWAAYACCATTGCGATGGCTATTCAAAAATACACGGAAAGAATTGCCTGAAAAAGCCAAAACATACTTCATTGATAATTATATAATAAACAGAATATTACATGGGCGCTTGRAGATACGAAATTTATCTTCTCGTGTTGAAAATCTCTCWCTCGTTCGCTGCGCTSACTYGTGAGAGATCYTTTCAACACTCGAAGATAAATTTSGTATCTCCRMGCGCCCATGTAATATCCTCTATTTATTATATAATTACCGATGAAATATCTATTTTTCTCTATTTCGAAAAATTGATATCTTCACACGTGAAAATAACATGTTATTTTCACGTGTGAAAATAACACCATTGCGATGGCTATTCAAAAATACACGAAAAGAATTGCCTGAAAAAGCCAAAACATACTGTCATTGATAATTATATAATAAACAGAATATTACATGGGCGCTTGAAGATACGAAATTTATCTTCTCGTGTTGAAAATCTCTCACTCGTTCGCTGCGCTCACTTGTGAGAGATCTTTTCAACACTCGAAGATAAATTTCGTATCTCCGCGCGCCCATGTAATATCCTCTATATATTTGCCTTTTTAGTAATATATATTTCTATTATTTTCACGAATATAGGGTAATTATCCTGTTTCCAAAGAAGTAGAACCGGAGTCCATAAAGCAAATTCTCTCTGCCTTCCAAGATACAGAAACAGTAACAGTCACAGACGATACTGACGGCGACAGTCACCATGRAGATGGTAGCCATGGTGACGGTGGTCATGGAAACGAAGCCAGCACAGGGTTGGAGCTCTCGGAAGACCGTGCCCAGTCCCTGAAACGCAAGATAGGTAGTTTTAAAGTTGTCAAAGTCCTGGCGCCAGCTGTAGATATGGTGAATGTTAAGGAGGCTTCTGTTGGCATGGCAACTGATCTCGTTGCTATGGGAACAAAACCTGCCTTGGATACCACAAAAACGGCAGAGATGGCAATCTTGGCTCTTCATAAGGAACATAAACAGAAGCAAGCGACACGGAAGGAACGAGAAAGAGAGAAAAGAAAAATCCGAGAAGTTATTATTAGGGAAAAGACGAGGGAAAAACTTGAAATATCTCGGCCTCGTTCGATTGTTGGAGAGCCTCGTACTCGCTCACGCAGCACTGGAGACCTAGAACAGGCAGGGAAACCAAAACCCCTATTGAAAAAGCGACACTCAATACCAGTTCGAGCGAGAAGCTTAAAACTTCGTCAAGTCTCCGAGTTAGATTTCGACGAAAGGGCAGAATCGGCTCTTTTTGATGGCCACAATACGTACCCACCAGGGGTACTGAAGGGAGGCCTTGTTTCATCCTTGAGGCATTTAGAAGAATCAAGAGAAAGACGTGATAGTGGTACTCCATTAATTAAACAGCCTAGCATCAAACGAGAGAATGTATCCAAGCTTGTGGCAGAAGTGGAACCACAGGGTGGCCGCACGGCGGAAAGTGAAGAATTAATTCTCGAGCAACCAAGTATTTCTTTACAAAAGGTCGAAAATATCGAATCTGAGTCGCCTGGTCAAGCTGGTGAGACTACACCGCTTTATCTACTAGAGCAGCGCCCAAACGCTGTAGATAATCTCACCGCCGTTATACAAGTAGACAGGCTCTCTGAAGAGGAGGCTCCAAATCTACGACGAACTTTGTCAACTGTTAGAGAGGAAAATTCTAGTTTGCTGGAAAATGCGAGTTCGTTTTCCATCTCAAGTCGGGGGAGCTCCATTTCTCAAGATAAAGAAAGTCTAGCTGAAGAAGCCAGTTCAGTCGCAGTTGGAAGCGATACGTCATCAAATAGCAACTTGGAAACCATTGACTCTGAAAACACACCAGATGATACTGTAAAGAAAGTGAAAAAATGGGAATTGAAAAATGAAAACTGGGGAGACGAGAACTCACTAGCCAGTTCTGAAGGGATTGCCATGACAACCCCAATCTCCACTCAAGACGATATTTCTAAACAAGATCATCTACTGTCACAATCAGCTCCGACGACTTTGACCAGTATTTCTAAAACGCCTTTGAGCGACGGCCATAATAAGGAGTCGTATACATCATTGGATAGCGTACAACGCCGACAGATGAATATTACAAGAGCAAAACGAAAATGGCTTTCCCAGAGTGCGGTGGTCACCAGTGGCTTACCCCAGAGTCCAACAGAAGTAAAATTAACAAGTTTTAGGAAGAACGGTGAATTGGATTTACCAGACTCTGGTGCCTCGGATCATCCGAGGTCAAAATCTCCTGGTGAGGAGAAAAGTCATATTAAAGAGAATGCAAAACAGGTGAATTTTGGTGTAGCTCATGACGTCACTCGAGGAGATGCCACGCCGAAGAGGCCACCTAGGAAAGGAAAACTTAGTTCTTCTGCGAGCTTCGCTTCTCCAAGTAAGTTAGATCGCTAAATTTCATAAACAAATCCCAGTGATCTTTATTCAGGGTTCGTGCTACTCCTTGAAAACCTTGAAAAGTCCTTGAATTGAAAACACGTTTTTAAGGGCGCTTGAAAAGCTCTTGAAAATAGGGGAAAACGCCAAAACTCCTGGAATACTCCTTGAATTTAATGCAAACTTGATGTTATTTCTAACTTACCTTTTAATATAAATAACGATTAAAATTGATAGAAGAGTTTCTGGTTGCTTGTTTAGTGGTTGGTCGCGTGTCATGCTCGTTTTTTATTTAAGCTTGTGGCCCCGGCTGAATTAGCTGCACTGTAACATTGAATCAATGTTTAAAACCACATTCTTATACAAAAAATTTTGTCCTTGAAAATCGGCGAAAATTGTGCTTGAAAAGTGCTTAAAAAGTCCTTGAATTTTGTAACGAGAATGTAGCACGAACCCTGTTTATTGTAATGATTGTATGATTGTAATGATAGCGATGACTGTTGTGGGTTCAATTCCCATATGGAACTTAGATTTATTCTGAGTTCCTTTCGTTCGTATCGCTTATCCTATCTATAATACACTCAACATTATTACTCGATTCTGATTGGACAAGAGGAGTACAATTAATTTCCAAATTGTACTCTGTAGAGTCACAATTAAGTTGTTCAATTTTCTTGAGCATGTTATAAACAAAAAATTGCACAATCTTCTCGTACAATTTGGTTTTGAAAGTTCTCAAATTGGACTCGCCTAACAGCTCCAACTTTTAAAATATCACTCGTACCTATAAATTCCGAATTGTACTCGAGATCTTGCGATTTCCTATACTTATTCTTATTGTATACCAAATTCATTTCGAACTGGAGTACCACATGCACGTTATTTGGACCTTTTATTATTTTGGAACAGCTAAGTAAAACTTTGAAGCCTAAAACAAAACAGCAGAAAAACAGGATTGAAAATTAAACTGGTAGTGGAGTACCTCAAGCCACTATCGTAGGACCTCTTTATAACATTTAATCAAAATGTTAAAATATTGTAAAAATTATAAAATGTGGAATACCTCAGGAACAATCTTAGGTCCTCTTCCTGTATGTATGTGTAAGAGGTCCCCATGATTTATCTATTTCTTTCATTTGTGTAGGAACGTATAATGCAGATACCCATTGGAAATTACTTCAATTGTTTTAGTAATTTCATAAAAATATGAGCATATTTGAGTGCCACAGAGACGGTTTTAGGACCTCCACATTTGTCGTATGTTCTATATATTTGTAGGAACAACACTTGCAGATACCAACCCCTAAAAGTAATCCAATCGTTTAGTAATTTCTTAAAATAAAAGCATATGTGGAGTGCCTCAGGAACAGTCTTAGGACCCTCAGATTTATTTTATTCTTTACCATATGTTTGTAGGAACCACACGTGAAACCAAAAAGAAACCAAGGCGTGACAACGTCAAAGAAAGACGTGAGGGAGGCTCTAGGTGGCAAACTTTATCAGGAGCAATTGATTCTGATTGGTTGGCTCGTCTGAGTTCTGCGAATAAACTTCCTACTGAACAAATGGTAATTTAGGTTTCCATCTATGTTCAAACTTAGAATCTTATAGACTGCTATTCATAGATATATGATGGTTGAATGCAAGGCTGACATGGAAGTACAAAAGAAATCACACTTGTTCTCGGTGGAACTTGTGGCATTTCTTTTGTATTTCCATGTTAGCCTCACATGCAAGATATTTTTGAGAAGAGTGCATAGAGTACTCTCTGGTTGATAGCACATGACGGGCAGCGTTAGCCTGTCATTGTAGGCTGGTAATGAGATTCATGAGATTCATTCAGCTGATTGATAGCAAGCAATAGAATATTCTCTGGTTGATTTTACATGACGGGCAGTGTT